GAATTGTAGCATGATTAAAAGAAAACGACCCAGAGAATTATTATCCGAATGAAAAAAATTAAAGGAAGAGAAAGATGGAATTGTCTGGTTTAAAAAGATTGAGCGCAATCACTTAAAAAGTCTGTCCTGAGAAACTGCAATGCCAGCGTTTTACATATGTTACTGTATGAATATCCTGGATTGTTTATATTTCAACAACCCACATATGGCTCCTGGTGACAAGTGCTGGTTTGACCTTAATTACGTTAAAGGTCGAGTCACACCGACTTTCACTTGGTATTCTAAAACCACGCTATCGAGCGAAACATGATCGGGTAAAAAAACACCCATGTCGCCACTTGCATTTTTTTCATTCATAATCAATGACGATGAAGCAGTTATAGATGATTTTGTTTGGCAGTAAACTCCGAGTATGACGTCACACTTCACATGGTGCATTAACACCATATCGGCCTGCAAAGGCCGTGTTTGTTAGCAACGAACCGAATAACAAAAACATTTCTAGGACTGGTGCTACCGCTTCCGGTCGATATACGTGCGTTATTTCGGGCCGTACATTAGGCAGGCAAAGTGTGAACCAGGAAGTTCAATATTAAAATCATGTCTTTTAAATATTAGAGATCTTCGGAGCGTACTTGACAGGGTGGCTCTTCCTGGGCTGGCGTGAATGCAGTCTCACCATCATGACGAGCCGTCTGTAGCCAGGAGGCTTGTGGATAGTGAATTCGAGAACGGGTATCGATTATTGTCTCTGCGTGGTTCTCGGTTGTCCGTAATCGATAAATATTGCGCTTGACTGCTCACTGGGATGCCAGAAACAACAACAACTGTGATGCTTTCATATTTGTCTGTTTTCGTTTCACGCGGGCTTGACTGCATTATGCTAATTTTGCTGGTTTATATGTTTGTGTACGGTATTGATCGGAGCATTTTGTCGTGGTGGAATTGGTTTGCTAACGTTTTTGGACTGATGTGAACTGGACTGTATAAAATAAAATCTTCTTCTCTCCAGATATTTTTGCCCACTAGTAAAGTTTAATATCAACACACAGTACGAGTCAGCACTATAGGTTCATTACTGAGCACAGTATGGGCACCATGCAACATCGTAATACAAGCATTAAACCAGTTACAAGTTGTCGCGACATGTTCATTTACTGCTTTAACCACAATTCAGCCCGTTTGTCGCTTGTAACGTCATTTTTGCGGACAATTTCATTGTCCTAATGTTGGTAGACTGCACAAAGATGTTCGTATGGAATAAGCTCTAAGATGAACTACGGTCTTTGTGAGCCGTAAAATACATCTTGAAAGTAAAATGTTGAAGACTGGAGTAAATGTGGATTGCATAATGGTTTATTCAGAAGCTGGGAATAGGAAAAAATCCAAAAGAAACCAAAATAATGGAAGCTGACATATTAATTACTTTTTCTGCCCAAACTGAACGTTGGAGCATCCTAAGACGAACTCTTTACCCCTTTATCGAATCTCATCAGTCACTGCCGTCTAAGCGAAGCTCTTGATCAGACAAAGTGTCACGTCACCTCCGCTGACGCACTTCGGCATTGGGATCAATCTCTTTAGGCCCGCTGGCCAGTGGTAATGAAAGGGATAACCCTATTTTTCCAAAATGCAAAATAAAATGAATTTTAATATAATTACAAAGGTATTCCGGCCTTTGGTCCCCCGACCACATTGTGTAGCGACTTGACCGACCGCGCGCACTTATGTTCAGTCTCGTCAAGCGAGATATTTGGATTACCGCGATCCTATTTGTGATATGTCGACTAAGTTACGCAGCATATTTCATTTGTGCAATGAGTAATCGTAGTTGTTAGTTGTTTCAGTTCCTGCTTTTCTATAAACAAATCATTCATCCCGAGTTAAGTATTTGTTAATAAGACACGGCTTTAGGGGTTCACTTCACCAAAACTAAACGTTGGTTTTCTTTTTAATAGAAGGATTTGGAAAAAGGATCAGAACAACAAAGAGTGAGATCCTTTCAAGGCTTAGGCTATCCCTGATGTATTGATCTTCGGGTAAATATTGTGATTGGAGAGTCAAATCTTTTTGGCATTTATCACTCGTCGAGGGCTTGTTACGAAAAGAAATCTCAATGGTGCATAAGAACCAACGCTCTTTAGCGCTTTACGAATCCACCGTCTTGGACGAGGCCAGCGGGCCGAATCGAGTTAATCTGAATGTTGGCGTAGCGTCTGGAGCGAACTCCAACATGGTGTCCATATCAGATTTCATCACTCCATATCAAACGGGGACACATCCAGTTCGTGTCAAATGAGGTCGCTGTCATTGTGTTGGTGTGATTCGGTCAAGCGTAGGCGTTCGAGTGTGAACGGCGGCGATCTTCAACAACGTGGTGGCAGCTGAATTATTTTTAGAAAAAAACCAATAGGGCCTATACACAGCTTCAATCTAGCTGAAAAATTACACGAAAGCCTATCTAACAATGTTAAAAGTAGCATTTAGCCTCGTCTAGTGCTTTTTCATAACGATACAAAAAGGAAACCAACCCCCTAAACCAAACACATAAATGGAATCGCAACATATCCTGTGGTTGCTAAAAAGTGTAACGAATAGGTTAATGTTCAAAAGGTAAAGTGGTTGTGGGTCACCTGATAATAAAGATCAGTTGAATGACAGGGATTCTTTTATGCTAGACAAACTTGTGCCGAAAAAAAGCAACGGCGAAGTGATCAAATACAGCCTTATGAGAGCCAGGATGCGTCCCGTATGGGCTTCCTTTAGGCGAATTCGTCGGCTAATTGCAGGGCGCCACATGTGTAAATTGACAGATGAATTGCGTTGGGTACCGTTGTGTGTGAGAAGAGAACCTGATTACTCTTTTCTGCTGGGACAAACAAATCGAAAATATATGCGTTGGTGTACATTGATTTTTATAAATCGTATAGGCCAAAATATACCCAGGCCTGTGAGATGGTGAACAGGCCCTTCAGGATCAAAATGTAATAACATGCAGATGATCTTTCTGAAGATGTTTGCCGATATGCGCAGCGCTGGTCAACAATCTTTACGAAGATGGTCCGGCGTGTAGGGGGTCAGTGCAGGTCAACGACTGAGGGGACACTAGATGGCACCATACGGAGCGGGAATAAATCTCTTTGCTTGTCCGAGTTACTAAGACCGTGCCATCTCTGCCGCTGGTCCTGATCGTCCTCGGTCAACCAAACAATAAAAACGAGTCTGGACAAAAACCTAATTCCGTATCACTAATTTGTCAGGCTGTCTTCCTTGCAGTGAGGTGGTATCACTTTCTGGTGGTTTCAAGATACAAATTCCAACTGAAGTTCAAGTTAAAAGCTGCAGCTGATTAATTGGGGTTCATTTCTGACATAAACTCAGCCGTTTAACATGTGTAGGCCTGTACATTGATTTGTAAACTTAAGATGTATTCATTTTTCTAAATTTGTATTATTTTGAAGTTTTCGGTAATACATTAAATATATTAATAACAAAGCATTTATAAGACGCACAGTATCTCAAACCAAAGGCGGCGATATAACTCTTAAAAACCGTGAGGTGTCACAGTCCCCCGTCTTAATTTTTTTTTTTATCAAACAATAAGTTTATATACATAAGACTATATACATTCTAGCTGAACAACGCCAAGGTGTCCCAAGAGATTGCTGAACATGTTTCAATCAATTGAATAGCCTCATGAATTTCACCTCTGTCCAACATCAAACACCAATTGCCAAGTCACAAACCTGGAAGATACATTGACTCATGTGTTAGTGTTGTCTGACAGAAAAGGTGCGGTGACGGGATGACTTAATGAACCTAAAGGTACCTCCCCCCCAAAAAAAAATAAAAAATAAAAGTGCAACCTGTGCACGTGAAGTCACACACTGTCAAAAAAAAAAACCATGAGCTGGAAACTGCAGTACGCAAAATAACTGGTTTATTGCGATTGCTGCGGCATATCCTCTCCAGTGAATTATAACACCCGAAGGCAAGCCATTTCTCATGCATAGTATACAAACCTGCTGCACCAAGCCACCAGCAATGTCTATGCCAAAGCCAATTAGTTAGTCGCTGAGATCAATCGGTGTGGTTCCAAATTAAACTCACTGCGACAACTTCCAAGGGGCAAATCAAGAATGACGGAGCAGGACCAAAATTCCATCCGAAAAAGGGAATTGCTGGAGAAAGGAAAGATGAACTACTCACCAGCTGCGGTTGGCGAAATAGGGACTCACCTTTGCTAGTATGTATCGTCGTTGCTTCACAGTGTGGCTGGCTTGATTTAGCGAACTTCCCGCCGAACTTGTCATTTGTGCAAATTCGCTTGATAAAACAAACGATGCCGAATTGCTGAGGCATCACCACTTGAGAAGAGCATAATTAATGCATACTACACCGTAATCAAGACTACAGGAAATCACGACGGAGAGCCGAGAAGCCTTTGCCCAACTCGTCCATATGCACTGCATCTTTCAAACAAACTGTTGTGCGGCCTCTTATAATTATGTAAAGCTTAATTAATATCGATTACAGGAAACACTTCAACTTCAAGGTAAGTTCAAGTTACAACAGCATTTAAAAAAAAATTGAGCCTCTGTCGCTTAATTTTGAATGAGGCCTTGCAGGTTTGCTGGGTTGTACGACTTGCCTAAATCTTGATTGTTCAAGTCAGCTCAAGCCCCACCGAATAAAATCCACCCCGAGTAGCTCCACTGCCTATCATGGGGGCACTGCAGTAAACAAAAAGTGTACCCGCCATCAGTGCCATCAAACTTTTTGCCACCGCTTTGGTGAAGAGTTTTATGTTTACAGTATAAAATGTTTACATCCATTTAATCATTACAAGACAGACGACTGTCAGGTGGATAACACGGCCCAGTGCGATAGGGAAACCTTAGTGGATGTCTTTTGCGGGCCACCATAGATACCATATGCGCAATCGATTACGCATAATACGTTTGAGCATTTTCGTCATTGGTACACGAGCACTTCGCAAGTATATGGTTTCGTGCTTGCGCGCGTGCGCCGAGTACCAATCACAGTCATTTTCAGGCAACATGGCGGACCCCGTGACTGATGAGCAAACTGGCGAACAAAACGGCGGACAAGTTGCCAATCCGAACCAAGGAACGACAGATAATGAGACAGCCTCACCTTCGAAACCTGGAGAAAGTATATTCGCTTCAAAGGGCAAAGATGATCCTGCGTAAGTTCTTATTTCGGTCACAAAATAGGCAGACCAAAACGGTGGCTCGGAAATGATCACGTCACGTCATACACAATTCCTGACAATGCATGAGGGTACCGCGTGCAAACTCGGCGGCCATGTGTTGTTGGTCCATTTCCAAGTGAACTCAATCTGTATTGGAAATTACATGTAGCGACCTAAATGTTGCCAGATAGTTGTTTGGAGGGTGGATAAAAAATGCTAGAAGATTTTACAATCGTGACGCCATTATTTGCCGCGACAGTGTTCCTCGTTTACAATAACCCCCCCCCAAAAAAAACTGACAAAAAAACTAACTGATCAGTAATTTTCCTTGCACAAACTACATGTTGTATCACGTTCAAAAAGTGCTGCATAATATTAATTTTCGGCCACTCATTTTATGCTTGTTAACAAAAGTCTGCAGTTTTGTTCTTATGTGTGGAATTTTCTGTTTCACTTTTTGCAGATTTGCAATAGGCCTATTAGGTTTATTCATGGTTTCATTCTCTTTTCCATTTTCCACAGGAAAATTTTTGTTGGGGGTTTAAACAATTGCACCACAAATGGTAAGCAACTCTTCTGTAAATGATAAGTGAACTGAATGCCACATTGTCCAACAGTGTTTAAAAGCTGTTGTGTGCATGTTCAACGTACATTATTTGAATTGTTGCATGCAGTTGCAGCAGTCCAATACAGCTTGAGGTAACAAACTTCCCTGTTGACTTGCCTGGTAAACCAAAACATTATGGGTTCAGTTAATTATGTACATGACATGTTAGAAGCACATGTGCATGCCTAGGTAGGGTAAACTTGTGCACTTGATGACAAACTATCGCTTGAAATCTTCCACATTGTGTGTACGTCCGTGTCACTCTATTTTGGTTTTGATTTGCAGACAGTCTCCATTGCTACTTCTCCCAGTTTGGAGAGGTTGTGGACGTCAACGTGAAGTACACACAGGAGCGAATGGGTAATCTTAGGGACCCAAATGAGCAGAATGTGAGGTCCAGGGGCTTCGGCTTTGTGCTTTTCAAGAGTCCCGAAGTTGCCAAATTGGTGGGTTGAATTATTTTCAGTAGGACTAAATTTGTAGCAACCTACAGTCAACCTGCAGTCATCAGAAAAAGTATACTTTCTCTGACTGAATCGTGGTCTGCAATTTCTGTTGTTCAGGAAAAAAAAATTGGCAAATCTTTAGTTGTTTATTGTACGTTGAGATGAAAGATGCAGCATTCCTTTGAACACATCGTTTAAGGACTCACCATTTTATGTTTTTGTGGACGATCCAATTTTGTAGGATGAATTTTTTTTCATGTGGATGAGAGTTTTGTTCTTCTGCACATTGCCACATTTGCGTCAGTGTGCGTTGGTTGCAGCTCATAATGCATATGACAAAAGTGGCTTGTCTGGACAGGAAGTCCAACATTGCCATGAATAAATTCACTACCTTTCTTCCCCTGGCTTGAGATAGTGGAGAGATTTCCATGAGATGTTTACTGTTGTCACGCAGGTGTTGGCTAAGGAACACGTGGTGGACGACAAAAAAATTGAGGTGAAGAAAGCAATCCGGCAGGGCCAGCCACGATCTAAGAAGCTCTTTGTGGGCGGCATCGCAAACTTCATATCAGAGGAAATCCTGAATGCCTACTTTTCTGCATTTGGCTCGGTGAGTGAGAAATTCTCATACCCTTCATGTTTGGCTGCCAAAATCTGCATGGAGCTGTTCAAAATGTTGGCTATTATATCAAAACTTGAGAATTCGTCAATGAGTTCACAAAGGGACTGGCAAGTGGATCTTGAAGAATTACATGTAATTGTTCTTTCTCAATCACACGAGAAGCTGCTCCTGTTTTAAAAGCTTAACCCTCCTTTGGTTTTACAGCACAAATATGCACAAGTGCCCACAGTCACTCTCTTGCATGTGTTTTCTATATGGATCTCAAACATGCACAGGTTGTGTGTACACAATTGGTTGCCAGCACAAAATGACCCAGGGTCTTTTGTGCAGTCCTCTCCTCAGCATT